AGGCATTCGGCCAATCACAACGCACTGGATAGCTGGCCAATCACAGCACACCTCACTGTTCAGACCGATGAGCTTTGTAAAAATCGACGCGTTTCAGAAAGGCGGGGCATAGAGGAGAAACAATCACGCTCGTCAATGCTGCCTTCTATTGATGTTGCTGTCTCCAGTAGATTGTTGTTGTTCCATCTCTTGCTTTCCTTTTTCGGCTGGCAAGGGCCAGTGTTGCCACCTTGTGGACAAATAGAATATTCCTGTACTATGACTTTCTAGGAAATGTGTTATTGGCAAAACTAAAAAAAAAAAAAAAGATTCCCACCAGCTAAAGATGTATGATATTCTGTTTTTTAGATATGGCTCGGGTCTACTCAGGGGTGCCCAATCCTGTTCCTGGAGATCCACCATCCTGCAAGGTTCAGCTCCAACCCTGATCAAAAACAACTGAACCAGCTAAGTAATCTCTTAGCAGCACTTGATAATTACAAACAGGTGTGTTGGAGCAGGGCTGGGACTGAAATCTGCAGGTAAGTAGATCTCCAGGAACAGGATTGGGCACCTCCTGATGTAGTTCAATGCGTTTAAAGGTTTAATACTTTGGGTTTGGGGTTTGTTCAAACTGACCCTCAATATGAGGAACAGTAACAGTGGTGCTTGCCATAGCAAACACATTGAATTAATAATACAAAAGGGTACATTAATAAACAAAACAGGGGTTAAAGGACAATGCATATCTTGGTTTACCAGAACTGATGACTTCAGACAGGACAGCATAAACCTGAACATACTCTTTGTTGTGTTTGAGAGCCAAGTGATCAGACTCAAAATAGTAGACATCCTCCTCTTCCTCCTCATCTTCCTCAGCCTGAGCGGCCAGCAGCTTTTCGGTGGATCGCAACACTCTACTATCTGACACTCCAACCTCTCCACTGACCCCTGCTTTCTCTGAGAGTTCATTGTCTGCCTCGCTAGAAAGTCCCAGTGCATCACGGGGAAGGTCTTTATGGCTGGTGTCTTTAGAGGAAAGAGAAACTGGCGTGGACTCCTCCTTCAGCGAACCATTGTCTATGTGCGGGGAACTGGGTTTGGGGGAGCTGGCTTTGAGCCCACTACCAAAGGCAGCGCGGCGCGGTGAAGTCCTCAGGGTGTATCGGTGTTCTTGAGGCTCTGTGAAGGAGGGGGGCTCTGCAGGCAGCTGGGAGGCAGTCAGCACCACCGTTTCTCCTGAGATATTCGAGTAGTTGTCAGAAGGGTCCTGCGGCTCAGCCTGAAAGCCGCCGTTGGTGCTCTCCTCTCTTGCGAGCTCATCCTGAGCCTGGCCGGCATCCCCTACGACATCCACCTCTACCTCCATCTCGGGTTCCCGGGATAACACGACCTCGGCAGCTTCCTCGGGGGTGCAGTTCCTCTCACAGTCAATCTGAGGGCTGTCGGACTCATTGGCTTGCTTGGGATGAGGGGATCTACAAGGCACAATAGGGTCGGGGGATGAGGGTGCAGCCTGGCTGCCGTTTAACAGTGAAGGACTGTTGTTAAGCATGGCAGGGGAGGCACAGGGCTCTGGGGGTAAGGCTGCAACTTCTGAGTCCTCCTTATGGAGGTCAGTGAGGCCATTGGTGGCCTTGACGTTCTCGCCGGCCTGCGGCGGAGGGACGATCTCCTCCACTGGGCCGTCCTCTTTATGCTCTGCCTCTTTGTCGAGGCTGAGCGGAGGGTCCGAGGACAAGTTCGATTTTGCGCCCACGTCATTTTCCTTCGGTGCAGTGGAATCAGGGCTCTCCGGTTTGAGAGAAGGTTCCTCCTCTACCCCCTGCGATTCACCTGAGCGAGGGCAGCGTTTGGCCCTCTTCAGGGTGGGGGAGGCTTCCGGCCCACCCCCGGCCCTAGGATGCTCGCAGCTGTCCGATTTGTCTGACTCGTCCTTCTCAGAGCTTGGCAAGCCTCGCTTTCCATAAGATGGCAAGGGCTCACCCTCCGCCTTGCTCTCGGCTACCTTTCCAACCTGTGCTCCGATCTGCTGGTGCTGCTGACAGTCCTGCTTCTTCTTGGGCGAGCGGGCTCTGGGCACAGGAAGCAGAGAGCTCTCTTCTGGCTGGGCGATGCTGCGGTTCCTGAGGGTTCGACCACAAAAGTTCTCATCCAATCCATTTATCCCCACTGATGATCTTGTGATGCGTGAAGAGCGGGACGCGGCCATACTATGGTGGGTGCCTACTGTCTTCTCATCATGGTGCTCTCTCCTCAGCAGCAGAATGTGGGCACCTGAGGGACATGATGAGAGAAAAATTACATATCATTGAGATTCAAAGTTAAATGGGTTTGAGACTATTCCTACAGTGTACAATTTAAAAAAATGCCAACAATAAGACTTTTTCGGGAAAAATTGCTAGAAAAATAGCTAGAAATCAGACCACTATAAATTCATAAACACATTTATGCTGGACACAGTAACATACAGTGATGTGTTTATTATTTTTAACTCATTCTATCCAACGCTTCTGGAACAATCACAAATCATTCTTGCTATTTCTGTAAAACCTTGTATTTGTTAGCCAGCTAACAACTTTATCTGTGTGTCATACCTAAAAAACACAATAAGATGATTTATCAAAAAGATAAACATGATGGACCAAAAAGCGAAATATGGAAAAATGAAGTAAAAGAAACATTTTAGCTGAAGTTTAAAGAAGTGACATAATCTGTTTGCTGGATGTTCTTTCACAGTGGATCAATGAGAAGTCTTCTTATGAGAAGTCATAAGTCATTTCATGAAAAAAGATGGCGGCGTGGTGTCGTATCCTGGCAGGTGCTGCGACTCCACTTTTTTTATACCTAGCTGGCCGTTTTCTTTGCCTTTATACACATTTGTCAGAGACCATTTTAAACTTTACTTGCAGAGTTAAACGTTGCAAACACGAAAAAATTGAATCTACGTTTCGTGGTGTGTTTTTTCTACTATTACTTTTTTCTACGGCTGCACTACCGGTACGTGTTGTGTCCAGAACTCTCCACGTGGATCAGTTGTGCTCCAAAAACTCGAGTAGTTATGCTGCACATGGGAAAAACTGTTTATATTCTGGTTTTCTCCAGATATCTACTCGTGTGGGAAGTTTTCATCATAACCTGCTCGGATACTATGCAGTTTATTCATCTGCTCTGGACTATGGACACGCTGTGATGTGTAAATATGCCTCTAGACAACGGGGTTTTGCTGCGCCGTCACGAAACACTCATGGGCTCTTGCTTATTTTACTGCTGCTCTCTGGGGATGTTCAATTAAATCCGGGACCGGTTAACCCGATAATACAGCTGGACTCTGGAGTTGAGCCTCATTTGGGGACGACCTCGGCAGCGTCTCACGACGAGGTGAGTGCCTGGGGATTTCCCGTGGATGTACCAGGCCCGTCAAACAGCAATGTGTGTTTAATTAACAACGTACACAATGCTCCAGTGCACAATATTTCTACACTGCTCGGCGGAGATTCTACTAGATCTACCAAGGCTCCAATGACTACACTTAACATCTCCACGTGTCGAAATCCTGCGGTAAGAAAGCAGACTGTATGTAGAATGTTTCAGACTGTAAATCACGCGAAGGTTTTGTGGGACCCGAATGTGAAACCGAGAGGACTTTTTGGTGGACATTTGAATATCAGGAGTATTGTTTCAAAGAACGAACAGTTGTCTCATTTACTATCTAATTCAAATTTGGACTTCCTTTGCATATCTGAAACGTGGTTGCATCAATTATCTTCTCCAAGTGTATTTATGATGCCTGGATATTAGACGTGATAGGTCCTCGGGAAGGGGAGGGGGAGTGTTAATATATGTGAGAAATGGTATTAAGTGTGAACGTCTTATGTTTAAACTCTGTTAACGACTTGGAGTTTGTAGGGCTAAAAATAATTTTGTCTCCTCAAATGTCATTTATTATCATATGCGTGTATAGACCCCCCTCAGTAAATGATATATTTTATAAACAACTTACAGAAATTTTAAAGGAATGTAATCATAACAAAGAAATAATTCTTATGGGTGATTTTAACTTGAACTGGGAGGACAAAGTAAAGAGGAAAAAACTCAAAACTATTGCTGATAAATATCTTTTAAGTCAGATAATTAAAGGACCCACAAGAATTGCTAAATCCTCTAAGACACAGTTAGACCTAATATTCACAAACAAACCTGAAAGGATAATCAAGAGTTATAATTTGATCACTGGGTTATCTGATCACAATTTAACCTTGGTTGCTCGGAAACTGACCAAAAACAGGTTTAAAAACAATGCGACAAATTCTAATAATGTTTTCTGTTGTATACCTAAAGGAAAGCTAGTAGAGTTCAATGAGGAAATAGCTAGTTTAAAGTGGGATGATATATTATCTTCTCAGGATGTAGAGTATGGCTGTAACACACTCATCAATAGGACTAACTC